ATGAGAGCCCCTCTAGGGACTGCCCAGCCCCTCCCTGGGCCCTGGGGCTGGAGCTCAGCTCACACCCCAGACTGAGGAGCATGGAGGTAGGCTCACCCCTTGGGGGGCCCTGGGAGGAAGCACCTGCTGGGACCACACAAGGGTCCCTGCTCAGAGGACGCGGCTGCTGCTTTCCCCTCAGGGAGCACAGAGCATGGCCATGGGGCTCCTGTCAGTAAATGGTCCTCACTGAGCAGCTTGCATGAACCTCAGGGCAGTACCACAGTGCCACCTGCTGGTCACATGAGCAAAAATAAAAACATGAAAAAGCTAAGATTTAGAAACTTTATTTAAACACTAGAGGCCAGGTGTACAAAATTTATGCACCAGTAGGATCCCTAGGCCTGGCTGGTGATCACAGCCAATCAGGTTCCCCTCTACCTGGCCTCCCCACCTCCTCCTTCCCTCGCTCCCTCATCGCCCCGCCTCTGCTCTCCCGCCATGTTCCACATCGGCCCCTGTTGGTCAGCGCATGTCATAGGGAGCCATTGAAATCCCAGTCTCCTGGTCAAACTCTCGAGGGGACACTTTGCATATTAGCCTTTTATGAAGATAGATAGATAACATGCTTACTTTCCCTGGAAGACACAAGTGTGGCTGCATCAGCGATGGAATAACTAAGAGACCAATGTTCTTATAAAACAGAAAATGCTGAGGGACGACTTCACGGAATGGGAAAGGCACAGTTTCACAGGCCCTGTCACAGGTCAGCAGATCAAATGGTTCCAATTCATTTTCATCCAAATTTCTCTAAAACATTTAACAAGATGTATCCTGTCCTGGTTGGTTTTAAAGCAGTTTTCACAGCAACAAAAGCTCCTGAAAATGATAGAAAACCAAAAATGACAGGACAATCATGCTAGATGTGGACACAGATGTCCTAAGTAACATGTCAGTACAGAGGTTCCAGGTCAGGATGAGCTGATGGGCAATTACCAAGGAGCCAGCAGCCGGCACAGGGGCCGCAGTTCCTGCAGCGAAAACCGTCGCCTGCTCCCCAGGCTCCTGCAGGGACCAGGACACGCTCACAGTGGACACTGGAGAGGCCTTGTCAACACCAGACCCGCAGCTTCACGTCTTGGGGTGACCAGCCTGGGGGCCAAGTGAGGAAGCAGAGACCCAGCTTCCCGATGGTCACACGGACTATGAGCCTCTCAACCTTTGGGCCACAGATTCAGGCAGTTTTCGCTGAAACCAATGGATGCTGGAGGGGATTTAAATCATTAATGAGGCGGGGGGTGGGGGGGGGTTGTGAGGTAGGAGGAACCCTAACCAGCAGGAAGAAGGGTGCTTCATATCCTTTGAAGATCTAGGTATTAAAAAATCTCCAAACCAGCCTTTCTTCTTTTTTTAAGATAGATGTTTATTGATTTCAGAGAGGAAGGGAGAGGGAGAGGGAGAGGAAGAAGGGGATAGAAACATCAATGATGAGAATCATGGATCGGCTGCCTCTTGCACACCCCTCACTGGGGATGGAGGCCACAACATAGACATGTGTCCTGCCTGACCAGGAATTGAACCTTGACCTCCTGGTTCATAGGTCGATGCTCAACCACTGAGCCACGCCAGATGGGTCACTTGGCCTTTTTAAATCGGGCCATTTATTGGAGAACATCCGCCATTCACAGCTGCCACAGACCCACCGGCACCGACTCCTGGCTGCTCTCAGTCTAGGGCAGGGGTTCTCAACCTTGGCTGCACATTAGAATCACCTGGGAACCTTGTTAAATCCTGATTTCTGGGCCTCATCCTCGGGAAATCCTGTTTCTTTGTTACTAATGTTGTGACCCCGCCCCATAACAAAGAAACAGAATTTCTGAAGGATGAGACCCAGAAATCAGGATTTTAAAAAGATTCCCAGTTGATTCTAATGTGCAGCTAAGGTTGAGAACCACTGGTCTAGGGGGTTAATAAAGCTACTTTAGAATTCCACCTGCCCTTTTTTTGTGGACAGAAGATTCAGATTTATTTTAATTTATCTTTAATTGAAAAGTAATTGAAATTAATTAGTGTCAGGTGCACAACATAATGACTCCGTGAGGTGTAAACTGCAAAACCATCCCGAAATACATCTCCATGACCTCTGCCATCAGACGGGGCTACAAGTTCTGCTATTTCTTGTGCTGAGAACACTTAAGATCCAGTAACTCAGCTGTTTTCACAGACACAGTGTGACAGCGCCCCCTGCCGGGTCCCCATGCTGTCCACACTCCCAGAGCCAGGTAGTCACAGCCAGAAGTGTCTCCTCCTGGACCCCTTCACCCACTGGGACCACCCCCTTCAGGGCCCACCATGGCACCCCCCAATCTGCTATAGTGACAGCTGTGAATTGCTGATTTTAGTGCTTAAAACCACAGAGCAAATGGAAACCAGTCGCACGGCTTAAAGGGAGTAAATCCTGATGGGATGGAACAGGGCCAGGGGTCCTTCCAGCACAGCACACAGTGCTGAGCCCCAGGCAGGGGCGGGGCCAACCAGCTGTCACTCATCTCAGCCTCACAGGCCCAGTGAGTGCAGCCCAGGGGGAGGGAATGTGCCCCGCAGGTGGGAGAGGCCTTCCCTTCCCAGGACCCTGAGCCTGGGAAAGCGCTGCTCTGAGTGACATGGAGGCCGGAGGGGAGGGAGGACCGTTCACCCCAGGCAGGGTCCCCAGATGAACCAGGGCCCAGGGCAGTGATGGCGAACCTATGACACGCGTGTCAGAGGTGACACGCGAACTCATTTTTTGGGTTGATTTTTCTTTGTTAAATGGCATTTAAATATATAAAACAAATATCAAAAATGTAAGTCTTTGTTTTACTATGGTTGCAAATATCAAAAAATTTCTATATGTGACACGGCACCCGAGTTAAGTTAGGGTTTTTCAAAATGCGGGCACGCCCAGCTCAAAAGGATCGCTACCACTGGCCCAGGGCGTCAGCGAGGGAATAAGCAGAAGCCACAGGTCACAGGCTGAGCTGAGCAGGCAGCTGCTGGAGAGCTCACCCCCTTGGAGACCTGAGGGGTTTTTGTCTCACTTCCCCACAGGCCTGCAGCACTGTGAGTACCAAAAGGACTGCTTTCATAGGACGCGCAGTAATAGATGCCCTCGTCCCCAGCCTGCAGCCCCGTGATGTTCATGGAGGCCGAGTTGCCAGACCTGGAGCCAGAGAATCGGTCCGGAATCCCTGAGGGTCGTTTGCTACTCTGATAGATGAGGAGTTTGGGGACCTTTCCTGGGAGCTGCTGGTACCAGGACACATAGTCAGCATACCCAACGTTGGTGCTGTTTCCAGTGCAGGAGATGGAGACCCTCTCGCCCGGGGACCCCGACACTGAGGATGGCTGAGTCAGCACAGACTGGGCCCAGGATCCTGCAATAGGGGGAGACACAGAGATGGTGAGTCTGGGTCTAGAGACAAGAGGAGGAAGCAGGGCCCATGTGTCTTCCCAAGGCCCCTTCCCCGTCCCCTTATCCAGTCACCTGTGCAGTGAGCCAGGAGGGTGAGGAGGAGAGGGGCCCAGGCCATGGTGGAGGTCATCCCTGAGTCCTGCCTCCTGAGGCCCCACAGCTGAAGCAGAGCTCCCCACACCTCTCCCTTCCCCTCTTCATAGTCTGCGGGAGGGAGGGCCCACTCATGCAAATGAGGACCCCCTGGTTTGATCCCTCCCTGGGCCCTGGGTCTGGTCCCTGTGCCTGAGGATGGCAGGGTGAGGGCAGGGGTGGGGCTGTGTGGGGCCCAAGGGCTGGCAAGGTCACAGCTGTGAGCCCTGAGCACAGGGCACCAGGCAGGGCCAGGGAACAGGTTGCAGCTCTGATGAGCCCAGCCCTTCAGCAGCAGCCCCTGAGCGCCCCCTGGTGCCCAGGCCTGGATGCACCACTGTGTCCCCTGCTGACTGAGCCCATGAGGGACAGCTCCTGCCTCCCCCAGCTCTGTGCACTGACCCCCTGGCTCAGGTTTTTCCAGAACCCATGAGAGGCCACCTCTGCCTTCCCACTGCTCTGCCCACTGCCCCTGCCCTAGGGCCAGGCCAGGGTCCCCTCTATGGCCTCCCCTCACCTCGGGGCACCTTCAGTCTCTACTCGGCATCCTCAGGGGGAGTCTGACCACAGCTCCCTGGGCTGGTCCGTGGTCAGAACTCAAGTGGCGGCTCCTGCACCAACTCTTAGACCAGGGTCAGGGCTCAGGTCAGGGCCAGAGCAGGGACACCCCGTGGGGGCGCGTCCCCTTCTGTGCGGGACTGGGGTTCTGTCTGGTGTGGGATTCACTCCTGGTGGCGGGAGGCCTCCTTCCCGTGGACCCAGGGCCCCGAGGAGAAAGGGGCCCTTCCCCAGGGCTGGGCAGGGGGGGGAGGAAGCCCTCGTGGGCTGTCCTCGTCCGGGGTCAGGGGTCACTGTTATTTTCTGTCCATATTTCCTCCTCCTGACACCGTCGTTCTCCATGAGTCGTGGGCTGTGGTCACTCCTGGGATCTGTTCTCAACGCACAGTCAGACGTTGGCATTTATCTGAGAGGAAAAGGGGAACATGCGGGACCTGCTTGTCAAAGAAATGTTGACGTTTTCTAATTGCTGTGCTAGGGCTTCTTTAAAACTTTATACTATATTAGTCAGCACTCAGCCAACGTCGAATGCATGTATGTTATTACCTGTGAAAGTCACAATAAGGCTGATTTAAAAATTCTAGAATGATGCATATTGGTGGAAATAGTGGGCGGAGGAATTGATGGAAAAGCATTGGAAATGCAGTGCCTTCTGCTCTGGGTTGAAAAGCTGTGAATAGACGTTTTCTAACATCACTTTACATTTCAGTCATGAGTTGGGAGCTGTGCGCTGTGGTCTGGTCCTGATGGTTGGAAATCCCCAGTCGCTGCCCAGTGACCCCCACGAGGAGTTTCTAGGAGCTTCCATCCGTCCCAGAAACAGAAGCACCTGCCACAGGCAGAGCTCCCAGGACAGAGCGGTGTCGGCTCCAGGCTTGTCTCTGGGCGGCACAGCCACAGGCGCTGCCCCTGGTGTCCAGCATCCGCAGGACAGAACTTATGCCCTCAGCTCCCAGCGACAGCGGCCAATGCCCACTGGCACCAGGCCTTTCTGGCTGCTCTCACTCTAGGGGGTTAATAAAGCAACTTCAGACTTCCAGGTGCCTGTTTTTTGTGCACAGAAGATTCAGATTAATTTTAATTTATTTTTAATTGAGATGTAATTGACATTAATTAGTGTCAGGTGTACGACATAATGACGCTGTGAGGTGTAAACTGCAAAACCATCCCAGAATGCATCTCCTTGACCTCTGTCATCAGACGTGGCTACAAGTTTTGCTATTTCTTGTGCTGAGAACAGTGAAGATCCAGTCTCTCAGCTGCCTTCACAGACACAGTGTGACAGCGCCCCCTGCCGGGTCCCCATGCTGCCCACACTCCCAGAGCCAGGAAGTCACAGCCAGAAGTGTCTCCTCCTGGACCCCTTCACCCACTTAGACCTCCCCCTTCAGGGCCCACATGGCACCCCCCAATCTGCTAGAGTGACAGCTGTGAGTTGTCGATTGTTGTGCTTAAAATCACAGAGCAAATGGAAACCAGTCGCACGGCTTAAAGGGAGTAAATCCTGATGGGATGGAACAGGGCCAGGGGTCCTTCCAGCACAGCACACAGTGCTGAGCCCCAGGCAGGGGAGGGGCCCACGAGCTGTCAATCATCTCAGCCTCACAGGCCCAGTGAGTGCAGCCCAGGGGGAGGGAACGGAGCCGCAGGTGGGAGAGGCCTTCCCTTCCTCCAGGACCCTGAGCCTGGGAAAGCGCTGCTCTGAGTGACATGGAGGCCGGAGGGGAGGGAGGTCCGTTCACCCCCAGGCAGGGTCCCCAGATGAACCTGGGTCCAGGGGTCAGCTAGGGAATAAGCAGAAGCCACAGGTCACAGGCTGAGCCAAGCAGGCAGCTGCTGGGGAGCTCACCCCCTCGCAGACCAGAGGGGTTTTTGTCTCACTTCCCCACAGGCCTGCAGCACTGTGGGACCGATACTGCTGTCGGGTGCTGAGCAGTAATAGTCGGCCTCGTCCTCAGCCTGCAGCCCCGTGATGGTCAGGGTGCCTGAGTTTCCAGACTTGGAGCCAGAGAATCGGTCTGGGACCCCTGTGGGTCTACTGTTAGTACTATAGATGACGAGTTTGGGGGCCTTTCCTGGGAGCTGTTGGTACCAGTGCACATAGTAACTCCCAATGTTGGAGCTGCTTCCAGTGCAGGAGATGGTGACCCTCTGGCCCGGGGACCCCGACACTGAGGATGGCTGAGTCAGCACAGACTGGGCCCAGGATCCTGCAAGAGGGGGAGACACAGAGATGGTGAGTCTGGGTCTAGAG